ATTCTATAGCATCTTACTACACTGATGGACAGTAATGGGGTTTGTGGGGGGGATTTGGTGAAGGGGGGACCCTAGTAAACATAATATTCTTCATGTAATTGTAGATTAATGACAACAAAATTAATTAATTAATTACTTTTAAAAAAAGTATTACTATCTCACCTTTTATAAAAGTTTGCAGACCTTTGCCCTAGAGTGTTTAATCAAACCTTTCTACTAAAGAAAGAAAATATACACAATCATTACAAAAAAAACTTCTCCAATACTTATGTTTATAAATATATACACTAATTTTTAATCACTTGGAACTCTACAATGTAGTGACTTGTAGAAAATGATTTATGTTCCATTGACTTGATTATATTTTTATCTTAAGTATTAAGATTTTAAAAGGTAAACTGCAGTTTCCTTCACACAAATAGAAAGTAATCTTTGCAATTTCTATAGCCTGTAGGTATGTTTTATAAAAGAAATACTATGTTAGAATAAAAATTCACAATTCAGAAGGCAGGACTGGTTGAAGAACAGACAAATTTCAGTCAAACCTAGACTTGGGGGAAATTATGGCTGACAGTTAACCAGTCACAATGATTTAACAGCAAAAAAGAAAATCAATTAACTCTGCATTTACAACAGGGAAATTAGACACTGAAGAGAAGACTAATCCAAAAGATCTATATACACACTTACATAAAATCAAGTTTTAAAGAATATGTAAGAATATGTATGTATGGTAAATAAGACTAACAGGAAGCCTTCCTTAATCCGTCTGAGTGACATGCCCTCCTATGTGTTCTCACAACATTCATTTTCCTTAATCTATCTAGCACTTCCCATAATACATAAATACTTACTTATATGTATACAACTGCTCTATATTTACAAGGGCAGAAATCACATCTTTTCCTTATCACTGCATCCTTAATATCTAACACAATAATAAGCACATAGTAGGCACTCAGTAAATATTTGCAAAATGAATTGAAAAAAAGAAATCACATGGTAAAAGTTTAAAACAACTCCACATTCAGTATTATCACCTAAAATTTACAAAATAAAACCTATGTTTGAACATAATGCTTTAATTTCACATTTTAATTACAGTTCAGTATTCTGATTTAAAATCCTCAGTTCAGATGTGGTCTATGTTAAGTAAATACATGTGTCTTATCTCTTTGGTTTATTTAAGGGTTCCCTGAAAATCACTGACTTAGAAAATTAGCACAAAATGTAGCAATTAGGCTAGACAGACCAAGTAAAGTCTTATCTTTTGGCATATCGGTATCTCTGTAATGTACTCTATGAAAACTCAGAACTACTAAATAACCCAATTACTTGTCAGTAAACTCATTTATCTGGTAATACATCCATTCCTGACAGTAGGTACCAAAGCTATCTTGCTTACAATGCCATTTGAAGCACTGGGAATGATTTTTAATTCAAGTTTCCAAAGGACATGGCATAAGAGAGGAACAAGTCATCCATAAATCCTGAAATTATTAGGAAAAACACAGTCCATAGTTCTCTCATTCCTAATCCTGCTCCAGGGTTAGGTCAACAAAGAAATACAGGAAACTTCTAATTCTTGACAATGGAGCTGAGAGAAGGAATATATACAGTTGTCAGACATAAGCCATCTTTGAAAAACATATTTCTCACAAGTTAATTTGGGTTTCACTAAAGATGAAAAACAAAACCATTTCTGAAAGTTAATATCTACAGGTATCTATTATTGCAGATTAGGACCAAGAAAAGTTTTCTCCAAAGAAAGAAGTAGAAGAAAGATAAGTGACTGCCCTAAAGTCTTCCAGTAAGAGATGGTTAAGAAATTGACTATATCATTTTGCTTTTGAGTGGGCAGCAACTTCAATCAAGAACCCAGTTTCCTCATAACCCAATTAATCAAGTCAAAATTAGTACTTTCCCATCCAATGGTGACAGCAGTAATAACAAAATCACTGCCTTATGCATGTACATTACATATATTATATAATTTGAACAATACCTCAATCCCTGGAAGCTATCAGGCCAATATTTTGATCCTTATTTTATAGATATTCACTATTTGCATATGTGATAAAGAGAAAGACTTGTTCAAATTCACAATAGGAAGCAGCACAGACGGAATTACAAACATGGTCCTTAACAATAAAGTGCTATCTGCAATTATGGAAGTATGTACCTCTAGATCAAGGGGCATAAAATAAAACAAAGCCCCTTCTAAACATGTTATATTGCTCTATCTGCTATACAGAAGTACATTAGAAACAGGCAGGACTTGGGAAGTAGATCTGTACATGTATTTCAACTCTGCTACTTACTGATTTGTGACCTTTTGACACTCAGATTAAGTAAGGGGAAAAATATCAACTATAGAGAGCTAAAACAGTTAAATTAGGAATATAATTAAAGTGATCAAATGAATTAATGCACAAAGGAGGTCGTTCTAATCCTGGCCATTGTTAGATTATTTTCTCTTCTCTTTTTCAGCTAGCAAGAATTTACGATCCTAGTTTCTAGCATGGCTCCATCAAAAAGGTCTCTGGTGAAGAAACCCTATAGGGTTCTTCCTCGGTAAAGATTGGAGCTTCTGAATTAGGCAGAAAACTTAAATTATTTACTCAAGTTATATCAGTAAGTATGAAAAACAAAAGGTTAAATTTCTTCCCCTTCACCTACACTCCCTTTTACTATTGGCAAAAGATAGGTAAGGAAAAAAAATTCTTTCAAGGGATAATAAAGACAAGGAGATAAGGAAGGATAGGAGAGAGGGTAAATAATTATTTGGGAATAGGGTCCACTGACAAAGGATGGTTCACTGAAGTCACAGGAGGAGTCCAGAGGAAAGAAAAAAAATCTAATTAATCTCTTGAATCCTAGACAAAAAGCAAACAGAAAAGTAGAGACATCCATCTAATTAGAGGAACTTAATAGCAGCTTACTACAGAGTCCAGTTAACCCTCATAAACTATAAAAATCATTTGTTTCCCTAGGAGTGAAATGGCTACCATTTATTTAATTATAATGAGAAGAGAAATAACTTGTTTTTGTAGGAACCTAGGACACACTAAATACAAAAGAAAAAAGTAAGCTTAAGTAGTTAAGTAGTTGAGAAAAGGGTTGTTTCTCACAGAACTATCTCCTTTATCTCTTAATCATTGACCTTGTACTATGCAAGAAGAGTCTGAAAACGCTAAAGAAGCTGTTAAGCAGAGGAAACCAAAACTTGAAGGTTGATATGGGTTTTTTCAGTCATTCTAGAAGCTAGAAACATGCTTCTCCCTTAGATCATGTCTCCCGAAAATAGCATCTGAAGAATACCAAATGGCCTAACAGAGATATTACCTACCAGCTGTCAGGGATGTCTCATATCCATCTTTAATGAAACAGCTGAGACTCTACTTCTTCATATAACTTTGAACTGCTACAAGTGTAAGGGGTACTACTTCTTACACTGGGAGGAGGGGCAGGAAAGAACAATAGGCAAATTAATGAATTATATATGGTTCTAATTTCACGTTAGTCATTTGTTTCACATGAAATATTCTATTTTAATTGAAGCCATTGGTACCCAATAGAATATGAGTTAAGTGTTCATAATCACAACCAGGATGCGGGCTCTTTCATATGATAACCACCTATAAATAACAAAAAACATATTTAAACTAACAAATTATGTTCTTCACAAGAAAATATAAGGAGAAATCTAATTCATTAGTATGCTATTGTTCTGCCCAACTATACACAAATTACCTACAAATGCCTAACAAAATCAAATGAAATTAAAGCTCCAACGTATGGATGTTATTTCTTTTGGAGGAAAATTTAGATAACTTTTTCAAATTCCCATAATATATTTCTTTTATGCCAATCTAAATTTGTAGTATATTCATGTTAAAATAAACATCAATCTGTTAGTAGCAGTGGGGAAGGAGGAAAATAAAGGACCACTGGACATACCCTATGTAATATTTCTAAAACCTTTAATGCAGTATGAAGAAAACTGTTGAAAATTCTTCTTTCGGAAGGAGGAATGCCGATCTTGTAGAGTTTCAAAAGATGTACCACAACTTCCTTATAAAGCTCTACAATCTTGAGGAATAGTGGAGGTTCAAGAACTGACCACCAGTTTTCTGTTAATAAAGGATGGAGACACAAATAGAACAAATTTTTAAATGTAATGATTTTCAAAATCACATTGACCTTTCTTTAAACCTATGGCTCTAACCCTTTGAAAATACCATAATATAATGCAGTATTTTATGTAACATCTCTAGGGTTTACAGACACTACCTCTTTTAACCCTCAAGTTAAAGAATACTGTTCTAAAAACTGTCAAAACTGAAAATAAAGAAAGGTCTATTAAATTTTTATATTCTTGGTTTTGTAAATTACATTAAAAACTCTTCACTATTTACGTAATATCAAAACCAGTCATTAAAAAGTGCTTTGAATTTTACAATTTTAATTTTTAAACAAAACACTTTAGAATTGTATTGCTCCAATATTGAAAGACTTTTTTTCCAACTTTATCTTTCAACTTAACATGAAGTGAAATATTGTGAAGCGCCACGTTTAAAACGCAAAGTACTCCTAAAGGTCAAATATAGACAATGAACAATGTTAAGCATAACATGTCTGTCCTTCCCCATATTCACTATTTGTAGTTATTAACAATTAGGAAAGGAAGCGCTGTGTTAAATGTAGCAGGCAAACCATAACAGCCAGAAGACGGAGGTGAAATATGAAAAATTAAGGTCAGAAAAGTTTAGGCCAAAAAACCAGAGCAGATAGAGACAGAACTGTAAGATCAGATGAGCAGCAGAATTCTCTACATGCAGAGAAATAAGGTCAAACATCAGGACATTAGCAATGAGGGAAGTAAGAGGCAAAGCATAAATAGAGTTCAAGGAGGATTTTTAACATCTTGTTTGTATTACTTTCTTTACTTTAATAGCAAGATCACTGTATAGGGGCTGAAGGATGGGAATATGAGAAATGGTTTTTATCTGCCTGATACTGTCTTTGCTATTGCATTTGATTAAAATCTTACTGTTTAACATGCTTTGCCCCCAGCAACTCCATCAGTTAGCATCAAATAACTGGAAAAAGCCACGCACACACAAAAAAAAACAAGTTTATTTTTCCCTAAGACAATGTCAGATAAGCAGGGTAGCAATATTTCAGACAGCAAAAAAGTAAGAGCCTATGTGCATTTTCACTAAAAGAGAAAAGGAAAAATATTAAAGAACAAATAAAAGAAAGGAAGACTAAAAATCTTACCAAGTACTTTCAGTGGTGCCTTTTCTAGGTTCACAAGAGCTGTACCAAAAGGAATCGCTATTGTTGTGAAATTGTTGGAATCACTCATCAAGGGACATTCTGGTAGAGTAAGATAAAACCTCAGTGCTTCAACATCAGGTAAGGAGCTAGTCAGTTTAGGAATAAGATTCTTTTCCAAACTAGCTGCCACCTATATTTTGACAAAAAGTAAAACATACTTCATTTAAAATGAATGTACTTGCCAAAAAAAAAAAAAGAAAAAAAAAATCTTATACTACAGCAAATATGAAATGGTGAAGAAAAAAAAAGGAAAAGATCTTACAATGAATCATTGAATGTACTCTGGAGCACAATAAATATTAATGTCTAAGCACTGCTAAGAGAATTGTAAAATCTTGTATGCAAGTCTGAATTTAAACTCTAACCTCTACAGCTATACAAAAACTTAACCATCATGGTAATTAATGTTAAATAATTAGAGGTCTGCTCCAAATACCTGCAAAGATTTACAGTTATTTGACAGTTACATTACAAATGCTTTAAAATAAAACCTTATTGTCTTACATTAGCATATTTAGTAAAATCATACAAAGCACATAGCCCACAATAAAGAGTATGAAACAAAGTTAATTAGACTATAAACATACAAAATAACATGGAATAAGAAGCTCAACAGGCTACATAATACAAATATAAAATACTTTAAAAACAAACCTGCTGAGATATTTGAGGATGATCAGGTTGAATAAGTTTGTGGAATAAAAGCCTAGCAGCATTCATATCAACACCTGAAAATTTGGTGCCTGTTCTATAGTGATCATCATTGCTATAAAAAGAAAAACAGAGAAAGAGAAAAATAATAAAATCAACTTACTTCAGTTTTTTAATATGTTAATATTTAATGTAATAAATTTGAAAAATTCAGCATACCAAAGAATTGCCACTTACCTAACAGCTAAAAAACTTCCATTTAGACAACCAGAGGAAGAAAATGTTCCATCTATTTCACTAAAAAGAAATTTAAAAATCTCAAAATGACAAATCTGTTTGTTTTTAATGAAAATTAAAATCAATATTTAATCTAATATTTGGTGCTTCAGAGTATTCCTCTAACCAATGCTCAATTAGAATTATTCAGAATTCTATAAATTACTAAAGATTAAGTAATACTCAATAAAGGTATTACTGTTTGTTTACCTAAGATTTTCTCAACTATTACTTTCATCCTCTGATTCATCAAACAAACCCAATGTTCTCAAAATTTGTTTTTTACATAAACTGAACACTTGATTTTCTTAATTCCACATGGTGGTAAATCAAATCTGGCCTGTTAATTTTTTTTGAAGCTTACTCTTTGAGGACTTAAGAAAAACTTTATTTTGGGAAAACAATCTAGAATAAAAAAACCAGGTTCCTGGGAGAAGAACCAAGATGGCGAACTGAGTAGAGCAGCGGAAATCTCCTCCCAAAACCATATATATTTTTGAAAACACGACAAATATAACTAATCCTAAAAGAGAGACCAGAAGACACAGGATAACAGCCAGACTACATCCACACCCACGAGAACCCAGCACATCTTGAAGGGGGTAAGATACAAGACCCGGCCCGGCGGGACCTCAGGTCCCTCACCCCAGCTCCTGGCAGGAGGAGAGGAGTCGGAGCAGGGAGGAAGAGGTAGCCCAGGACTGCTAAACACCCAGCCCTAGCCATCCGCACCAGAGCTCAGACACACAGTGCGTGCGTGGGTTGCTGGAAACTAGGGAAACAGGACAGTAAGACCTGTGAGCGGGTCCCCGCAGCTGGCACACCTGGGACAAAGAAAAGCGAGTGCGTTTTGAAAGTCTTAAAGGGACAGGGACCCCACAGCTGGACATAAGTGCCCCAGGACACTTAGCCCAGAAGCTGCGAACCTCAGGGAGCTCTGGGTGCCCAAACCCCAACAGAGAAGCTCAGAGGCCCCTAACCGCAATAAACAGCCTCTTGCCTGTTCCCCCTCCAACACAGCTCCACCATATTGGAGCAGCAGCCTGAGGCCAACCACGCCCACAGCAACTGCAGAGCTAAATAAACTCCATAGCAGCAGGGAAAGCTCAAAAGCCCCGTCTGCATGCAGCTGCCCAGCACAAGCCACTAGAGGCCGCTGTTCTCCCAGGACAGGAAGGCCATAAACTGGCAAGAAGGGACTTTCTCTTACCCGACACACGCGCCAGCTCCCCACAAATACATCTATCGCCATGAAAAGGCAGAAGAAATTGATACAGACCAAGATCAAAGAGGCAAACCCTGAGAAGGAGATAGACCTAACCAGTCTTCCTGAAAAATAATTAAAAATAAAGCTCATAACCATGCTGACGGCGATGCAGAGAAATACGCAAGAGCTAAGGGATGAAGTCCGGAGGGAGATTACAGACGTCCAGAGGGAGATTACAGAAATGAAACAATCTCTGGAAGGATTTATAAACAGAATGGATAAGATGCAAGGGGCCCTTGATGGAACAGAAACCAGAGAACAGGAACGCATAGAAGCTGATGCAGA